AAATGATACATTTCAGGACAATGATAAATTAAACATACTGAAAATTATGTAACTAAATTATACTCTAGGCCAAAAAATATAAACCTATTTAAAATGATTAATGATCAATGATGATATATTAATGTTGAGAGAAGTTTGCCCCACCCCCACCCCCACCTGAATGGCTTGGTACGACGGAGGGTGAGGAGAGTCAACTCTTCTACTTGAAACACTCTCGCATGGTCACACGTTTACAACTAATATCAGGGAAGTCCTTCTCGTGGCATTACTGTTGTTTATGAAATTGAGACGATGAAAAGCGAATGTCAGGCTCTTTAACCGGGTTGATGAACGCGGAGAGTTAACCCATCTAGGGGAGTTGGAAAATCCTGATTTCAAACCAATGGTACACATGGGCTCCAGTATCCCGAAGTAACAAATGGTATATGAACCAATCTTTGGTTAGTGGATATTATGGGACTACATCTCCTTACGTTGCTTCACTACGTTGTGTATCAGACCATTAGGATGAAGGCTCCGAGTGTGGCCCCCTGAGAAAATCACCTGCTTCGGTCTGGGCAGCCGTGGAGAATCATAGGCCATACACAAATCAAGTAGCTTGTGTGGTGTATATGTATTCGGTACCCGTTTGTACCAATATTTATATGTTCAAATAAATAAACAATCATATTTATATTCAATTAAGAATAATATCATCCATGGAACAACATTGCTACTGATATTGAAATTGAAGGAATTTATGAACCATAGTTCGAACCAGTAAGGTTCTGCAGCTGGAACCAGTTGACAAAACTGCTAACTTACTTACTTACATCTGTTACTCATCGTGAAGGAGCATAGGCTGCTCACCAGCATTCTCCATCCAAAAAACTGCTAAGCATGTTATAAACTCATTTTAATTACCATTCTTACTTAACCACTGTCAGGTGAATGCATCTAGATCAGTATATATTCAGGAATAATCGATTAAACATAGTACTCTAATGGAAATATTGCAGAAGCACAGTTCCACGGTGATTGAAAATCAAATAACATTTAATGATTCACAATAATACAGTACTGGAAGTATGCTTAAAATTAATAAATTGCAATGACTTCATTTGTTTCACCTGAACGTTTCTAGGTAAATCACTGAATAGTAGTATTCATAATTTTGATTTAGTTGTAGATCATTACAAATTGTAACTACGTAACATGAGTAGTTTGCAAGCCGACTATCAATAACATCACTTGAACTTAACATAAGCTGACAAAAAAAGATGAGTAGAGATTGACTTGATTCAATCTATATCAGTCAATGATGACAACAGACAATCGAGGATCGATATTATCTTCCAATTCATTCACTTAAGCTTGTGAATGACGTATCCCGTAAATTCATAACTAAACAGAAAACAAATTCAAACGTAAATAGGAAGCATAAACCATATACGCATGATTGTTCAACTAGGCAACTCATCAAGAATGCTAATAGCTTAATGCTAATAAAAACTTACGCTTCTTAATCCTCATCGAGGAGTATAGGCTAACCACCAACATTCTTCATCAAATTCTGTCCTAGACAATCATTTCTACTTGCTATTCATCATTTTCATGTCTGCTTCCAATTCCCATCGTAGTGTGTTCTTCGGCCTTCCTCTTCTTCGTTTCACTTCAACATTCCAATTTATCGCTTGCCTCGTGATGCAGTTTGCTGATTTCCTCAGTGTATATTCTAACCTCTTCTGACATCTCCTAATTTCCCTTCACATAGAAATCTGGTTTGTTCTGTCGCACAGTAAGCTATTACTGATGGTGTCCGGTCAACGGACATTCAGTATCTCACATAGACCACTGTTTATAAAGACTTGTCCCTTTTTGATTATGGTTGCAGTAGTTCTACAAATTTCAGCTCCCTACAATATAACTGTCTTGATGTTCGTATCGAGGATCATGACTTTTATGTTGGCAGACAGTTACTTCGAGTTATGTATGTTCTTCAATTGTAAGAATGCAGCCCTTGCTTTGTCAATCCTTACCTTCAAATTTGCATCAGATCCTCCTTGCTCATCAATGATGTTACCCAGGTATGTGAAACTTCTCACTTTTTCCAGAGATTCTTTATCAAATGTGATTGATTTGATGTTTTGTGTTGTATTACAAGATCCTACTTTCCCGATTGTGTATGTTGAGGCCCATTGGCTGCCTTTGTTGGTGTATGGGTTAGAAGGGTACAACTTTGCAGTGTATTCCGTCGTATGAATACCAGATGATGTTGACGATTTTCTCAGGTACTCCATAATTTCGAAGGTTTCATAAGGTTTTCCAACCCACGCGATCAAACGCTTTCTCATAGTCAAGAAAGTTGATGTATAATGACGAGTCCTATTCAATTTATTACCGGTCCCAAGCCCAGGTAAAGCAGGTTCGAACATGAGGTTAGCAACCCGATCCTATAGAAAAAAAAGCCTTGCTAGCAAAACGATAACTAGAATGAACAATTTATCACCATTCGTAGCATTCACTATAACGTATTTGTGTTTGTTCCTTAAGAAAACAATCATAAGTTATTAATTTAGATCATGAATCGATTGATCTTAGACCACCAATGGGAACCTGGGAACACTGGACTCCTAGGAAATGCGAATCCATGGGATTCGAACTCAGGACCCTCGGTCTCGCATAAGAACGCTTAACCTCCAGACCACTGAGCTGGCCGGCATCCAAGATGTTAATGTCTAACTTCAATCACTGCTGAGGAGACCTACAATAAGACGAAGCGGCCGTCCAATGCTTCTAGGTTTTTAATGATGGTCTAACATCAATGAATTCATGATCTCAACCAAAAACCTATCAATAATCTCCACAATCCCATACTGATAATTACCATGTGCTCGCGAATGACTAGATTCATGAGGCAACTCTCGAAATTCTATTGAGAAACCGTGACCAGTGGAGTTAATCCACGTCAGGTAGAGACAAATATCTACCTCAGTACAATGAAAGATGGTCGCGCAATTTTACAGATTGGTCAAGATTAGACATTAACACCGTTGGATATCAACTGGCTTAGTGGTCTAGAATTTAAGCGTTTGCGCACAAGACCGATAAACTTTGGTTCGAATCCCGGAAGCGGGATCATGGACGCATACTGTTGAGGAATCCCATAATGAGACGAAATGTTTTTAGGTTTTCAATGGTAGTCTAACACCAATCAAATCTCTACAATCCTATACTGGCAATCATCATGTTATTATACATGTAATTCCAGTTACATACATAAATATCTATAATGAATAAACCTGTGAGAAATGTTAAAAAGTCCCAACACTAGAACGAAATGACCATCCAATCCTTCCATGGTGATCTAGCTTTAATCAATTAATGAATTCAATTATTGAAATGAATAAAATCATTATAAACCCGCCCTCCCTTCTGATAGAAATAATTCATTATTATTATTCACAAAAATGAATTTCATGCATAATTAGGTAGTAAGAAGAAAACAGAAAATAAGAATAATAAATAAATAAATAAATAAAATGAAATAAAAAAAAGAGAAAAGAAAAGAGAGAGAAAGAAATTAATTAATCAATTAATTAATAGTATATAAATTGTATAATACATCATTATGTGAAATAAACGCTGCTTAAATAGATTACGATTATTATCATTATTAATGTTATTATTATTAGGTATGTAATGAACAAGTGAAAATAATTGAACTTCTCTATTACAGTAATCACTGCATACAGAAAAACAATAAATAAATAAAATAAAATAAAATAAACTACATATTAACAAGAAGTTATTTGATCATGTTTCTATGCAGGGAGATAAGGGAAAGAACGAGAGAGAGAGAGGGGTAGGGTGGGGAAGAGAATAGAAAGTGGTACTATTAACTATGAATATTCTGAAATGATCTAACACCAGGGATGTATACAATTGTTTCAATAATAATAATAATAATCATTATCATAAAACTGGAGGAGAGAATGTTTTAAAGCTTAAATTGACAAAGAAAAATACTCGTTAGTGTATTTGTTTATACATGAATTGCATGCAGAATATATAATACGATAAAAAGTTGTCAAGAGAAATGAATCAGGATGTTTACATACCACAAATAACAAGAGTGAAGGAGAACAGCGACGACGACGACGACAACAACAACAACAACAATAACACCAACGACGACGACGAGGATGACAACAAGGAAAAGAACATAGATTATAAACTGATGGTCAATATTTACAAATGGTTAAAATAAACAATTATAAAAACAAAATTACATAAACAAATAAATAATAAAACTCCTATGTATATATATATATATATGTATATGTTCATAAGATGAACAAACAGTATTTACCCATCAAATAATATTGATACTTGAATAGATTTCATATGTTTGAAGTTTCATTTTGATCGATCATCAACAGCAACAGCAACAAACAAACAAACGGTTACGTAATGATGCAAAACAATGAACATTTTATAAATATACAGAATAAAAACAAGAGTTCATTTAGTTTTTTTTCTTTTTTTTTGTTAAAAAAACTGATGGTGATAATGATTAGGCGCTATAGAAACAAAACAACAACAAAAAAGTGATTATGTAATAGAGAAATAAAAATAAACAAATAAATAAATAATGTAACTGAAACATAATCACATCACAGGTGAATGAGACTAATATCATTCATAAATTGGAATAGGTCGGCGCTAAAAACAAACAAACTGATGATGATGATGATGGTGATGACGATCCACACACACACACACACACGTAGATTTAGAAAATGTTTTTCAAGATATTGTTGTCAAGACTACAGAAGAACAAGAACAAGAACAACAAGAAGGAGACGGTAGCCTTACTCTCAATCAAAACGTAAATAAATGATATTTATATTAAAATATAAATAGAATAAAACCTAGAAAATAGAAGAAAGCAACTAATTGATTATTTAGATAAAAGTATCAAGAGAAATAATCAATAAATAAAAGTATTTTTATGAATGTCACTGGGATTTATAAATATTAGTATTATGATTATTATTATTATTACTACTACTATTGATACTACTAATTATTGGTGTAACAGTAGTATTAGTAGTATTAGTATTAGTTGTACAACAAACTGATGTATTTATATGAAGATTATAATTATGAATAGGCATAAATCGTTTAATATTATGATTATTTCTTCTGGTATTAGTATTACTATTATTATTATTAGTAGTAGTAGCAGTAGTACTGTTGATCATCTTTTCACAATGATTATGTGATAAATCAGATAATAATGGAGATGATATACAATAATTCAAATTGAAATTCTCTTCTTGAGATAATGATGGTAAATGTGATATAAAATGTGTTGTATAAGATGGAATAGGAGATGAAGGACATGATGCTATTGTACTTTCATGTAAATATAAATTAGATTTGCCTGATGTAATAGTTTGTAATGTAGCAAGATTCAATAAATGTTTTTGTGACCATTTCGATAATGATAATGATGATGATGATGGTTGTGGTGGTGGTGGTGGTGATATAGTTGTACAATTTGTTGAAATAAAAGTATTTGATGATTTTTCAATTTGATTATTGGATAAAACATTTGAATGAATAATATCAGAGATAACAGTTGAAGTAAATGGTGATCTTATTGAATTTGTATGATCTGATAAATGATATGATCCTCTAGACATATATGTTAATAATGATTCATCAATTAAATTTTGATCATGAATTTTATGATTATTATTATTATTATTATTATTCTGAGTTAATGAATGATCAATGGATCGTCGTTCACTAATGGATGATATAACACGATGAATATTTGGTGTATAATTTGACCATAGAGTATTATTATTAATATTATTATTACTGTTACTAGGATACAATCCACTAATTAGATCAGTTGATGATGTATAAAAATGTTTTGATTTACAATAGTTAGAAAGATTTGAATGTTGAGATGATACTATCGTTATGGATGTTGATGAGGATGATGTTGTTGTTGTTGTTGTTGTTGATGATGTTGTTAACGATGTAGGCGGTTTTTCTGAGTTATTCAATGTTGTAGATGGTGATATAGGAGAAACTGGAAAATTATTCTCCTCTTCGAATTCAGTATCTGTTAAGAAACGAATACATTTTTTCTTTCGTCTAGAAAATTAAACACACATACACAAACAACCAAACATGAATAAGTATCATTAAGTTTATACAAAATACGAAAAACATGTACAACTTTCTAAACAAACAACTAAGTCATTATATCCCATACAATGTTAAACCTTAAATGAAGTATAAGACTTAAATAGATTAAACCTCAAGTACAGTTTATTTCCTCAGGAACTGAAGTGACAATAAAATGTTCAGAAGTTTATTCAACTTAACACTATAATTCTTTCCTAATTTTACTTACTTACGCCTGTTACTCCCAATCGAGCATAGGCCGCCAACCAGCATTCTACAAGCCACTCCGTTCTGGACATTCCTTTCTAGTTTTATCCAATTATTGTTCATTTTTCTCATGTCTATCTCCATTTCCCCGTGTAATGTATTCTTTGATCTTCCTCTCCTCCTTTAACCTTGAGGATTCTATGTCAGTTCTTGTGTTGTGATGCAGTTGGTTGCTTTCATCCATATGTGTTCTATCCACTTCCAGCGCTTCCTCCTCCGCTGGGATCTGGTTTGTTCTCTCCCACTGTAGATTGTTGCCGATAGTGTCCGAACAATGGATTCGAAGTATTTTTCGTAGACAACTGTTAATAAACACCTGTATCCTCTGGATGATGGCTTATGTAGTTCTCCATGTTTCCGCTCCATACAGTAGAACTGTGTTGACATTTGTATTGACAATTCTGACTTTGGTGCTGGTTGACAGTTGTTTTGAGTTCGAGATATTCTTCAGTTGTAAATATGCTGCTCTTACTTTGCCGATCCACGCCTTCACATCTGCATCAGATCCACCTTGTTCATCAATGATGTTGCCCAGATACGTAAACATTTTTACATTTCCCAAATCTTACAATTAATTCTTTCTAGTGTACTGTATAATTGACAATCATATTAACTTGACAGAATCCGTTTTGGTTATTAATTTGTTTGTTTGTTTTTTTACCAAAAAAATAATCAATAAACTGAATGGTAACTAAATGTTACTACTATTAAATCAATTTGACGATAACATATATAAGCGGAAAAAAATTGATGATGACAAACTACCGACTACAATAAATAAAAACCAGAGTTTCTATTACATATAATCACTAATGAGCGTATATAATTTATAAAATATTGATAAGATAATAACAATGATTAGTGTGACATTATCAGTGTAGATTTATTGTTATATCTAGATCTTAGATGCTTAATATACCGCGTATAACTTGAGCATTCGGACTCTAGGACCCTCCCAAGTCGTAAATGTGAACTGAGAAGGCAAGTGAAAGGAATTTTATTCCAAATAGTGTCAATTATGATATTAAACTATTGAGTATTTATAATTTTTAGTAAAAGCGAAGTCATCATTATAGTTATCTAATCTGCACACAGGGGGGGCGGTATTAGCATTCGTCCAATAGGGAAGTTAGACGCAGGGATTCTGGAATATTCTTTCAAAAGATGATTGGATAGAGCATCTTCGGTTCTTTCTGAGCTATTTAGAGCTTCCTCGAGTTCACCCGTGGACCGTCCTCACATTTATAATTTTTACTATTTCATGAGTCAAATGTAATATGAAGTATGACATTATAAAATAGTCTTGAAAAGAAGAGAAATTACAACTGTTCGCGTCGTTCACGAAGGTGATAAATATGAGCAAAAGCATAGAATGATTCAACATTCTTACACATTTACAGAAAAATACTGTAAAATTATAGGAATCAATGAGATAATGTCGTATATTGAGTAACATTTGATTGCATTTACAAATTGTCGAAGTCACCATCATCAGAAAGACAGACAAATAGAGAGATAGTGTGTGTGTGTGTGACGGTGGTTTGAATATTACCAAATAATAAATAGGATTATATGTTCTACATTGAATACTTCATTAGCTTATTGTATCAGGTAAGAACTGTATTTCACGGCTTGAAATGTATAGTTTTAACAAAAGCTTTAATAAATACGTTCGCAGACTACTTTATATGTTGTGAATTATTTTAAAATTTAATGTAGAAAAGTATCTAAGTAAATTTGGTAAACCCTATGAATCGTAAATTTATGTCAGCTAGCCATACTACTTATAAATTTTTAAAGTAACAACAGAAGACGTTAATGGTTCAAAAAAGGTATTTGTAATATACTAAACAAGCAAAAGACAAATAAAAATAATTAACACAAGAATCTTATTAATATGATCATTTTTGAGAATGTGAGATGGCCAGGGGAGAATATACTTTACTTTCTAGTGTATCATGGATTTTGGAACTTCGCATTCAAGCAAAACCGTGTGTATTTGTAGCGGAGATCAAGAAATGACACATTTACATGGCGATGTAGTGAATGAGGACACAAGTGAGGACAATCGAATGTATTTCAATACAACATTATAGAATATCATAGTAAAATCTGAGAACCATACAATAAATACTTCATTTGCAAAAGGTCAATCAAATTGTCTCAGACTTCATTGTTCCTTCATTTCCACACCAATCATTCTTTGTTCTTGTTCTCTTTTCTCCCATCTTCTTAACCCTCTGTCACCGAACATTTCTTTTCTGATTGATGATACATACTACTTATGCATCTGTCAATATCAGTAGCACAAATCACAGTGATATCAACAAACATGCTAATGGATGAATTAAAACTGATGACGATCGATTAACCGAAACATTAAGAAAGAAAAAAGTAATAGGTGGAAATATTTTAAATTAGAGAAAGGTGAGAAACTGAACGATAATACAGGCAGAGTGTCTCAAGTTCTGAAGATCTCAGTAAATCAAGTAGAGTCTGTAACCAATAAAAAACACATGTGTGTGTGTGAGAGAGAGAGAGAGTAACTCAAATTATTTAATGGTATGAAATGTCAACTCTGTAACTTATCTTACACTGTATTCACAAATATTAGCCTATTTAAAGGATCAATTGGGAATAGAACAAAATCTATAATCTAAATACGGACAAGGAAATCTAAGGCAGTTTTGTTAAGTGTGTAAGAAGGCGAATTAACCACCAGTTTCTATACTTTATTATAGTTTAATGATAAATCCATTGTCTGTTAAGTTTAAGACAAGTTTTAACAGGTTAGATAGAAAAAAATCTTACAATAGATAATAGGATGGATTACACATGACTGAATTAATCAGTAGATTGATACAATCACTTTGATTTACCGATTTACAGTAGAAGAAGGACAACTATTACAATTCAACAGCCGAATTGAGTTTTGAACAATATACCATATGTTAGAGATTTCGATACTACTAGTGTAGTGATGGCAATCGAATGTATTTGTCACGAAACGACCGAGTATCTCACTAAAATCTGAGAACCATATAGTAGATAGTTAATTTGTAAAATATCAATCCATCGTGTCAAACTGTTGTCACAATCAATGTTGTAGAATGTTCTTTTACATATTGTATATATTTACAATTTTCAGTCTATTAAATTTATTTACAACCTTGCTTTACTCTACGAATCATGTCTTCAATATAACTTCCAACAAAAATCCTCTCGTGTAAGTCATTTAAACCCATTATGTAATTATGATTCTTAAATATCACAGGTTGTAAGCAGCTGACAAGAACCAATGAAATAAAAATGAATTCATGCTATTCTGCTAGAATGTTTATTTTTGCTCTTTTCAAAATGATAAAGGGAACTATGCGCATGAAAATTCATTATTTGTAATGAAACAATATATATAATTCCAATTTTAAGTTAGATAGTTTAGTCTCTACGAGCTACTTAGGCTACCTAATGAGATTCTTCAATGGGAATATTAGAGTTGCTTAAATGATGTATATCAAGTAAAAATTCTGAGGTAATGCATGTTGATCACTATGGGATAGCATTTATAAAACTTCCTCCACTTTCTTGTAGATTAAACATTTAGGTCAAAGTTTCGGACAGTGACTCCCTAAGAAAACCACCTGGTTAAGTTCGGGAGTTCTAGCAGTATTCTAGCTCTCACACAAAATGAATGACGAAGTGTGACGTATAAATAGTTTCTCTTTGTACAAATATGTTTAAATAAATAGACAATAAAATGGTCTAAATTATTTGTAATTCGACTTTAATGAAACTCTCTTCATTCCTATTACTAGTTACTAAAAGTGAAGTTTAGGAGGTAGGTCAAATTTGTTATCAGTTTGTATTGATTTATGATCATATTCTTAATTGATACAATTTACAACAGTTTCTACATAGTAATAACAATAAAAAAAGATACTATTCTATATATTAGCATACAATACGTTACCCCAAATGCCCTGGTACGGCTGAGAGTGGGGAGAGTCCGCTCTCCCTCTCGAAATGCTCTCACATGGCCACGCGTATATAGCCTCTGCCAAGGAAGTCCTACTCACTGCCTTCTCGTGGCGGGGGTGTTGTTTACAAAAATGAGAGGACGAAAAGCGAATGTCTGGCGCTTTACCCGGACCCAAAACCAATGGTGCACATGGGCTCCAGTATCCTGCGGGAACAAATGGCGTATGAACCAATCGTTGGTCACCGGCTACCATGGGACTGCATCTCCTCACGATGCTCCACTGCCTTGTGGGTCAGACGTTCAGGTCAAAGGCTCGGGGTGTGGCCCCCTAAGAAAACCACCTGCTTCGGTTTGGGCACCCGGGCAGTATCACAGCCCTCACACAAATCAATTGAGATTCGTGTGGCGCATATGTACTTGGTGCCTCCCTGTACCTATACTTATGTGTTAAAATAAATAAATAAATAATAAATTCCATTCATCTACAAATAGACATTGTACTATATTATTTTATGTTTTGTTTTTACATTTCAATAATTTAAATTATGCGCAAATTTATCTTTTTTTTCTTTTTCTTTTCTGTTTTTCTTTTTTTTAAAAAAAAGACATCGGGAAGAGAAAAAAAAGAAAGAAATTTCAATGATTATTAAAACACATTTGGATTTAATTAATTCGATTCATTAGTACTTTTATATTAAAAACTTTAAAATATCAATGTGTT